GATGTGAATTTTAGAGTGATTAGTTATTATGCATATGTTTGATCGATGTATGATTTGTTGTGTGGAGTTTCATATACTGATAAGAGGAACAGATGATGGAGTTGACCGTGTTGAGTTCGTCTCAAGAATGAAAGAAAATGAAAAAGAAAATATAATAAGGATGTGCACAATATGAAGAATTTAATCCAAAAGATGAAGTTTAAAGTAGGGTTACATTTAGTGTGAAAAATGAAGATTGAGCAAATCAATTTTTATGTGAAGAGGTTGGAAGCAATGGATGTAGTTCAAACTATAGGAACTAGTTCCCAAAAAGCTATTCTCCCTTCCTTTTGAGATTTTTACATACATAACATTTCAAACTATTTAAAATACACATACAATACTCAGAATTTGACGAGAGGAGAAAAGAAAGGCAATTATATATAAGAAAGGCAATTATATATACACAAGTTTATTTTAATCAAATCATGTAATTTCTCTCTAAATTTCTTTTTTTTAGCATATTTCTCTCTCTATTTTCACACATTCCTCTAATTCATTAAATCTCATGAATCAAATATTATGCTTTTGATATTATTCATGGACAAAATTGAATTCAACAAAATGTATATATGAATAAGAATAAATTTCTTGTGGAACCATTGGACTGCTATGAAAATATATCATTTCTTTCTTATGGCAATCTTATAAGTAAACCCATCTTAAATTTAATCTTAGCCAATCAAATGGATGAATCAAGTTATAAGCAAATTAATACATTTTTTAATAATTAATATCTTTATATTAGGTTTATTTATATTTATTTTTACATTGAGAGGTTAGATTCACATAAACATCCAACGAACAATAGTCTTTTTTAAATTTCTATATATTATTATATCTTTGTGACAAAATTCTCGTAATTATTTTCGGACTTAAATATATCACCATTCAAAAATAGGAGCAAAACATATGACTAATAAAGCTAATTTGGTCAAACATGAATTAAACAAAAAAAAAAAAAATCATTTAATAAGAACTAAAATTTGAATTAAAAATTAGAAAGATAAGATTTCATTATTCAACTACTTAGCTTTAGAAACATTTAATGTTTACATAGATTGGTTCAAAGAGATGAATCCAATGAGATCAAATTCATATGAATCCAAATACAACCCTCAGAACTCTGATGAAGTATCCATAAATATCCTAAACCCTAAAAAATATATAAATAGATTGTATTTCTATATATATAAAAATATAGAGCATCTTAATATATAATCCACACCAAAAAGATCAGTAATTAAGCATGATAGTCTATAATTTATACCAATAAAATCATTAAACACAATAATATGGCTTTATAAAAAAATAATAGAAATAAATCTTATTTAATAGACACATAATGATTAATGGATAAGAGCTTAATAAAAGTGTTTGGTGGGACTTTATTAATGATGGAGAGGTTAGGCATTCACTTTAGATCTGCCCAGGCTCTCAGCTGCTGTCGTTTGGAGATTGCTTGATGAAATTATCCATGCTGCCTTCACAGTTGGCTTTTATATGCGAAGATAAACAAACCTATCCTATCACATATGAGAAGGCGACTTGATTGACCACTCGGCTTGTTGCGATATTGACGTGCTGGCTGTGAGAGATTATTCTGTGCGGACGCTGAATGCAGTTATAAATCTGGATAACAATTAGAATGAGTCACGTCAGTCATTCCAAGCCTCAGTATCGAGTTTGACACTCAATACCGAGGGATATTGAGCCGCGGGCTTAAATATATGGATGGATTCCGCTTCTGCACAAAATAACTTTTCGAAGGTTGGAAATTTTGGCTATAAATCAAGATGTCTTGGATTTGAAGCTTGTGTACTCGATGTGTGTGAATTTGCTTTAATTGACCTAAATATAAAAAAAAATGCATAAATTTAAACAAATTGATCAAATTAATAAAAGATCAAATAAACTTAGAATGACATAAAAACTTTGTTGTAATTTCAATGCATGGCAAGAAATATTATTATAATATCATAGTATTTTGGTATCTACAGACCAATATGTGTCTATAAATAACATCTAATTGTCTTTATGAACATATCTTTATTGCTCGCTTCAATTAACATCACAACTACTGATGTTCATGCATGCCATAACTTTGGCAACTCATCATTCTCTATTTTACTATAATTCTAAATGTAATATAAAAATGCTTAAGTGAGACTAATGGTTACTCTCTCAGCCTAATATAACCTCACAAAATATTTGTAGAACTAAAATAATATATATTAATTAATTTAAATTGCTATTTACTATTCATAAAATAAATCTGATTAGGCATACCTTTACGCACATTTTTAGGTCTCATGTAATTCAATTGAAAAATGAATTGCACCATATTCAAATGGGAGACAATACCTTGCCCAAATTAAAACGCTTGCTGACAACATAGTCGCAGTCGGCTCTCACATTGATTCGGAGAACATAATCTTATATATCCTAAATGACTTGCCATCCACCTACAACTCCTTCAAATCCTCTATTCACACATCTCTTCATCCCAAATAGATTATCCAATTTTTCACGCACGAACCAAGCATATTGAAATAGATTATCACTTTATCAGTGATCATATCAAATCTCAGGCGATTACGATTCAGCGCATTCATTCAGTGGATCAACCAGCCGATATTCTTACCAAATCATTATCAACCACTCAATTTCAAGCTCTCAGACACAAACTGACGATCCAATCCTTGGATCATCACTTTGAGGGGGCTATTAGCAGCAATCCACTTCACACAATAACCGAATTTAGGGTTTAGGGCATAATCTAAACACTTGCACCATCACCATGTGCACGGCTATAGTCATCACCTACAGCACATGTGTATAACAAATTTGTACTATCTAATACTCTATATATACTACAACTCTTCTACTATACAGGATTGATGGAAAAAAAATATTTTTAACTATTGTTTTTAACTTGCGCCTGAGTTGCTGCAGTTCCTCCACATCAGCATGGGCAGCCTGGAGCTGGCGGTGTAAATCGGCCAGCTTAATGGCATAGGCAGCTCTGGTTTCGTCCGAGCCTTAAAAATATATCGCACTTAATACCAAGCTCGGTATCGGACGAGAGAACTGTCACAGAATAAAAGCTCCACTCTACATCCCAATGAGCCATACCGAGCCGCAATACTGAGCCACAGTGATGCTTAGTACCGCAGTATCAAGCCGTGTGAGTAGATATCCGGCCAAGGTTTCACATTCCCACATAATAATTTTTTCTTCTATCCTTCCGAATATATTATTACGTACGAAGTCAGGCACAAAATCGCGTCCGAACCTAATAATCTCTCGCTCCCAATGCGTGCGCAGGTTAAAACCCACGGACATTATTTCCTTAAAGCCAGTCCTATCAGATTAATCAACATGAATGAGAAAGCCAACCCCGTCTTATAACACACAACTCTTCTTGGCCTATTGGTTGAGAGCTTAGACTTCCAACTAAAAGGTCCAAGGTTCGAGTCTATGTGTATGCGTTGTGTGTGTGAATTTGTCTTAATTGGCCTAAATGTCCAAAAAAAAAACCCGTCTTATTAATTATTAAACTCCCATTCATAATTAAAATAAAAACAGAAATTCTTTGGTTTTTTATTCTTATTTTTTATTTTTTAGTTTTCAGGGTGTTTGCCGCTTCATCCAGCAAAATTCTGTTTCAGATAAGCGAGACGATACGTCCGGACCAATGACGACCACGTCAGCTCACACGCTCCACATGCACCTCGAGATTCGCATTCACGCGACGCGAGGCCGGGAAAAAAGGTCGAGCCATGCAGGGTAAAAGAACACGTGGCATCCGAAGCATGCGCGGCGGCTCGCAGTCCCATGTGCTGGGTCAAACACCGAGTTAAATGCGATGAGGACGCTTCCTTTCCCGCCTTCCCGGTCCCACACACGTCAATGTATTCTGTAGTGAGCGATCAGGCGTGAGGAGTACCTGTCCTTCTCGAACAGCGCACAGCGATTTTTGTGGCAGTAGGTTCGACCCCATTTATTCGCGGCCGCGCCGTCAGAAAAAGGAAAAATGCTATTACCCTCGTCTCCCATAACACCAATTAGGCAAGGGATAAGCAAGATCAAAATTTGGCAGTAATCTGCTGAGTCCTTGCTTTCCAAACTCTGAAAAGATGTTCAAACAAGATCCCTTAAATTCATTGAACCAAGGAATTGGTTAGGCTAAGCAGACAGCTAAAATGGATTTATTATTCTATGCGGAGTGCGGAGTCCGGAGAGCCCGGAGAGCGTTCGAAGATCAATAAAAATTGCAACACATCACTTCAAAAATGTACCGTGCTCTGTACCGTTCAATATCAAGCGCTTAACCAGACAAGAACCGTCCGGTGCCCGCACAGAATAATAACTTGCTAAAATAAAGAATTGACTACAAGTGAGGATCACCTGGCCTTTTTTCTTTATCAAAGTACCAAATATGAGAAACATCAATATGATTAAAGAGATTGAAACTTCTGGAAGAATCATGTCGCATACCTAAGGCATTTATGTAGAGATTATACATTTTTTTTAGATGTATAACAATAATCGATCTAGTAATGTATTGGGTCAGCTGCCCCACTGATCAAGATTTATTATTAATGTTATCAAACAATTTTCAGGATTTAGGCCCCTCAGAATTTCCGAAATCTGGATTTAGAGTATTGACAAAATCTTACTTAAATCAAATCCTTGATGCTACCAAACAGCCCCTAAGAAACACGACTATTATCTCAGCTCCAAAAAAATCTACTCTAACCTATTTGATTTTAGGTCTATCTCTGTGTAATAGTCATTGTTAAGATACTTGTTAACTTAGATATCATTTTCCTAATATCATTCATCTACTATCTTAAGCCATATTTATTGATGCTAGAGATATCTTAATAAAATAACCATCCTAGATTTTGATGTTATCTAAGACTGTAACACTATTTCTTCAAAGAAGATCTTCTGCATGAAAGCAAATCTCCATGAGACTTGATTATGGAAAACAAAATTATCCACTCCATTGATCAACTTAGAAAGACAATCTTCAATTAAGGACATTTATATACCTAAATTCATAAGAGGTAAATGATAATTACAACAAGAAGTTGCAGGCTGCAAAGGGCCCATTTCTCTTCTGGTGCCCCATGTCTGAGCGCACCCAGTCCTTAAGAAACCTGTAAAGAAAAAAGTGAGAAGGTAGCAATGGACATCTTTAGCAAAAATTTTAAAGCCAAATGCCCTTTTGAAAGCCATTGTAATATCATCAAGAAAAGCACTTTGATTTTACTTTGGAAGCAAACGCACAACAGCAAAAAGAAGATCGGGCTTTAACAAAAGGCAAAAGTATGCATCAGAGCCCTCAAGGTAAGGATTTGGAAAATAAGGTGGTGACGTTTTTTTTTTTTCTGTTCTTTGAAAGAAAAATTTGCTCTATTTGATAGCAGTTTCATGGCGATGAGCTAACAGTAGAAAATATATATGTTCAGGCTGCTAATTCATTGACTAAATCCAGAAATCTTAATTTGTTTTTATTAAAAAAATGCATTCTAAATCCCTGCGTAGCAATTTCATATTTAATGCATACAAATCAAAAGGAATTCCCTAAACAGTCCCTACATTCAAATTTCTCTCTGAAATCCCCCAAAAATCCTTCCTAAAATGCTCTGTTTGAGCGGTCGGGCCGCTCGTTCTCCGCCAGGAGGCGGAATCTCCGCTGTTTTGCGATTTCCGCCCGTGAATCGGTCCCGCCTGGACCGGTCTAACATATTAACAGGTCCATTGGACCGGTCCGACGAGATTGTCTTACATGAGTAGAGGCGGACGTTCGACGAGATTGTCTTACATGAGCAGAGGCGGAAACGTCCGCCTCTTGTATGCGCCCAACGCACGCCCAGCGTGAGCCATTTAGGAAGGATTTTTTAGGGAGTTAGGAGAAAAATTTCAATGTATAGACTGTTTGGGGATTTCGTTTTGATTTGTATGCATTAAATAGTTTGTTTTCCTAGGGTTATGGCAACTTGAATTTGGCTGAAATTTGAGATCTCTTATTTTCTTTGGGCTCTAGCGGCGTCTAGAGATTTGGGAGAGAAAGATCCTCCTCTCGAATAGAGAATAATTGTATCTTGTTTTATTTCTTCCGTTAGTTTGCTTTTTTCAATAAAAATTATTGTTTTGTCATTTTTTCCATTGAATTTGCGGAGAAAATTGTTGTTTTTGCCTCTATTGATAGGAATTACTTTAAATCTTTAAGAGTTTGAGTTTCCTATCAGAGATATACTATTCAGATTTTTAGCAAGGCTCGAAACTCTGTTACATTTTCAATATCACTTTCATTGTGAAAGTTTCAATTTCAATTATTCCAATGATTGATGTTACTTTAATTTAGGATAATTTTTAATATAAAATATTCAAGCATACACATTCAATGCTGCATTAAAAGAATATCATCAAAATAAGACCCAAGTTAGAACACAATCTCATAAGACTCAAGCAATTGAATTCTAGTAAGAACTTGACGGCTGTTAAAACAGTTACATTGAATTTTTATTAAAAACTATGAGTTTCGGCTGAAACTTTTATTTTTTGTCCAAAACTTCATCGAAACTACGAGTTTTTGGCCGAAACTCTCCAAACAGATGAAAAAAAAAAAGTTTAACTATTTCAAATAAAATCACCGGCAGATAAAACCAAGGTTTTCAGGAAATTATTATGGCTTCAAGTAGCTATGGTTTTCCCCAATCATCAATAAGACTTGAATAAATCACATCAAGCACTGGACAGTAGTATTAAACAATACAAAAGTCAATAACCCTATTTATTTATTTACTTAGGGAAAGATCCAGTTGATTTGTCCTATAAAATTGAATAAGTAATGCACAGATAAACAAATCCTCAATCATAGTAGTCCTTCAGCAAAACCAATCCAATAAATATAACAAAGAAAATTAAAGGAATAATAGTACTTGCCTGCATTTCTGAGTCAATCAGAATTCATAACCTTAAACTCGCCACTTATATATGGTAGATCTGAGTTGGGATTTGAATGAATTTAATCACAATTTCATACAAACACTGTATAGGGAAATTTAAGAAAATTTAATATCAATGCCAGAAATTACATCGATTACTTGCAGCATTATCTTGTGCAACTTTATTCATGATATTCGATTGCAGAAACATATATGGAACGAAAATTCTACAACATTGCAACGCTGAAAGTTTAATAATTTGTCAGATTTAGAAAGCCAACAAATAAAGCTAGCATAAGAAAATAAGCATTTTTATCTATTACAAGTTAAGTACTGAATAAAAAAAAAAAAGTTAAGTACTGAATAAAATGCCGTCATCACGAATGAATGAACAAAGATTCATAAAGCCGAATCGAAAATGTTAGGCTAAAACTAATGCTGACGAGGAGCTTATGGTAGAATGGCATTATTAGCCAGATTCATGTCAACGGGAGACTTCAGCTTTAAGAAAAGAAAAAGGAATCGGGGTTCATCTTTTACTTTTCTTTAGCCCAGAGGCTTTGCCTCTCCAACAGATGCCAAAAAACCAACTATCAAAAAGTTCAACCTTTAGATCATTAAGGCTGTGATGTTGTTTTACGTTACTCAAGAGAGCAACTCATCAATTATCCTTTAAAAAAATTCTATCTAAAAATAAGTAAAATGATTAGAATCGCCCCCACTTCCAGTGTAAAGACCGGTTCAACCGGTTCAACTGAACCTGCCCCTCCCATTAAACAGAGGCTCGCGGGAGGGAGATCGCGGCCCAGGCAGACCGCACGCATGCCGCCCACATGCAAATCCCATCCCGAACGGCTTAAAATTTTAAGTCGGTTGGATTTTCGTGAATAAGGATGAAAAGTAACGACTCTTTTCACGGGATTTTGTTAGTTCGCTCTCTCCGATAGAAGAAATCTCAAGAGGGAAAGTTCCTGTTGAAATGGGACGGCTGAGAAGAAGAAAGAGAGAAGGTTTGTTTCTTTTCTCTCCATTTCTGTATTAATCCTTTCCTAATTCTTCCTTTAAATAGCAAGAGTGTTTCATTAAAGGCAAAGGAAGACATTTGAAAGCGGAGAGAAAGAAATTTGGGAAAGAACGAAGAAGGATTTTAGGTCAGAATAATTCTCTTTTTGTAAGTGATTTCTTTCATACATCTCTTGTTATCTATGTTGGATAATTTAATGTTAATATCAATTGGATTAGAAAGAATTTAACTAATCTTGTTTGCAAGGTGAAGGATCAAAGTTAATAAGAGAATTTCTGGGAGATTTGATTGTGACAAGTAAGATCGTTGCAAGAATTGAAATTGGAGTGCTCCTGCGCAAATCAAATGGGAAAAGGAAATGTAAATGAAAAATTAAAGATAACAATTATTTCAAAATAGTATAAATGAAAATATCCAAAGAAGTATAAGTTAATGAAATGAAATAAATAAGGTTAAGAAATGATAGAAGATATCTTAATTAATTAATTTTAATGATTAATTTATATAATTACCCACTGAGTTTACTTAGTAAACTCAAACCACGAGTTTAAATGTTTCAGGTAATTCCTAAGAAAAGAAATGGCAGAAAGAGAAGAACATGTTTACAGAAGACGTCATGAAAATGATAACAGGTAAATTAAATTTTTGTGTTTAGTGGCTCTTCAGTTTATAGAAAAGTTTTTGATGATGAGTTATTATTATATTGATAGAAATGTACTATCGTCCGACTTTTCGTACTCGCCTCGTTAGATCGAGCATCTGGGCCGGGTCTTGACATCCAGCTGATAGTGGGGGTTTGAATAACTCCTCTAAAAGGACCTCACTCCTCCCCACACACACTCCACCACCAATACCGCACCACCAAATAAAAAAAAAAGAAAAAAAAAAGAAAAATCTCTGCATATGAGATTAATGGTGAAGCATCACCATGCGCTATACCAATGTAAGCTAAGCCATCAATCTCTGTGCTTATTCTCATCGGAAGCAGCGGATCAAACAAAGATTTGTGCACAGTTTATCTGCTTTTTTTCATCATCTTGTTTATTTTATTATATTTATAATAAAGAACATGCCTATAATGATAGTTGAGAGGGTTGTATTAATTTCCTACCTTTGCATTGGTTCATATGATTTGTCAGTTTCAAGTTTGATTTAGTTCAGATTAATTCCCACAAAAGATTGACAAGATTGTGGTTGTTTAAGGCTGTGAGAATAGGTTTTTAGCTTTGGCAATAGAAGGTTGGAATTTAATTTGGCTTTGGATTTTGACTTGTTGATTTGGGGCATTGGCTATTGCCTCATACAATTTGTCCCTGTCCTGTTTTTGTATGGGTTAAGCTGAAGGCCTTGTAAGTATCACTGTTGAGGTTCCTCATATGACCTCATCTTGATTTTTGTGGAGAATGTGAAGGTCGGTGCCATTTGGCTTCTAGTTGACTTTGATAAGAGGCGTTTTGAGGCTTTTAATTTCCTATTAGATTGACAGGGGCCTTGCCAGTGCAATTCGTCCGCTTGGTTGCTACAGCATCTTGATTTTACGTTGACACAATTAGATTTAGGATATAAAATTTATGTGATTCAAAATTAAATCTGAAATTAATTCTTATCTTTTTGTGATTAATTTAAATCTAAACTTAGTTGATCCTACATTAATCATATTTACTAGTTGGTGGATGAAGGGTCTATAAATATTTATTATGAGGCATATGCCTAGGAACTTTAATTTGAATAAAATTTCTCTTTGTTATATATATTTGGTTTCTTAGAGTGCAATACAACTGTAATTAGAGGAAGTCATCTCCATATACTAAGGTGAGGTCTGGTCTTTCTTTCTTTAATATTTTTTTTCCTTATTCTAGGTTATCTAACCTAATTTAATTTAGGCAGTTTAGGATTCAGATCCTACACTCATTAGGATTTAACTGCCATTACTGATGGGCATTAGATCTAAGTTTAACAGAAAAGGTAATATAATAATATAAGGTAAAATAAAGCAGCTACTGCTTTTTTTCTCCTTATTTCACTATGCTCTACAACTGTTGTCATCTCTTGTTCATGGCTGATTTCAATCAAGTTTTCAAAGTAACAGGTTTCAAATATAACAATTTAAAGAATTTCTAAGAAATAAATGAGCGTGATGCACTAGAATCAATTTATATTCTACTACTCATATATGATATGCAATCAAAATCATTCATGTTTATATATCAAAAGATCTTTAGCTTCTTGATGACTTAATGCATAGACACTAACCTGCATAAGCTGAGCTCCAACTCTTGACTGTTCATCCTTTCAACTCAACAATAATCTAACAGTAATAGACTTTACTACAAGAGGACTCCTCACTACATTCCTTGATGGAATAGATCTCAATCTCCAATTAAGTTCGAGTCTGCCCTTTAAATGTAAATTCAGATCTCTTCTTGTTAAACAGGCGGAGAGTCCCTAACTTTATGTCCCACTTTACTTCGTTCATAGATCTGCCTCCCCTATACGTTTCTTCCATTTGCCTCTCATTCATTTACCACCATTGTTAAACATCAGGCATACCATTCTCTACATGTATAACTAGCTTCACTGAAACAAAAAAGTCACAAATGTTCAATGAAATCAAGGGTTGCATGATATAATTCCTTAATCCTTTAAAGAATTCAGATGTGATGGTGAACTAAGATCACATCGAGTCAAAACAATAAATTCAGCATTACATTGCATCAAAGTTTTACTTGTGTCCAATGGTGGAGTCAGAAAATTTTCTTTAAAGGGACACAAATTGCCAATTTTAAAAATATTTTCAATATTTTTTATTTGGACTTCAGATTGACATCGACTATTTAAAAAAGTTATTAACATAAAAAAATTTAATCAAGAACATCTGGTATATTAAAAATAAATAAATACATTAAAAAATTATTTTTAATATTAAATTAAAATAATATATTACAAAAAAATAAATTGTGATTTTCGGAGGGGGGACACGTGCCCCCGTAGGCCCCCCCTTAAATCTGCCCCTGCTTGTGTCAACTTGATAAATGACTTACATTTGTTGCCTTAAGATTCCTATTAACCCAAACCACAAAATCATAACATTCAATTTCTTCTTAAGCTTTTCTTGTTATTATCACAATCAACATGTTCACCTTCTTCCTCTAACATCTCCCTAACAAAAAAAAAAAAAAAGTGAGGTTACAAAATTCGGACTATTATTTCAGACTTCTATAAGAGTAATGTAAGGATGGATGTCAAAGTCAATTATTGAAGGTGATCGCTGTGACGAGGGTCACCAATATTGGTTAACATCGGGCTACAATAGTCAGTAGATTGAAGTTGGGTGATGAAGCTCATAGATATCGGCTGATATAAAACAACGATAATCAGGAGATGACAATCTATATTGTGACGGTAGACATCAACATCAATTTGCAGTTGGTGACAATAATCGAGTAACGATCATCATTAATGGTGAATGTTGGCCGCGAGCGAGCAACGATTGTTAGTGATGATTGTCAGTGTCGATTGTCAGTGTTGATCAATGGGCACCACATTATGATTTATCAAATCCAATAACTCTCTCCCACGCTAAACCCCTTCAGGTGTTGGCCTTCCTCTGCCTCTCAACTCCATTGCTCACACCTTAGCCTTTCTTCTGCATCCTCTTTCATTCCCAAGTTCATCCCATAATGATTTAATTTATCACCTTAATTTTGTATAAAAATTAAAGCTTATTTATAAATTTTTTTGGGGCATTTTAGTTATTTTTCCCAAATATATCAAACACTCAAAAAAACATCTTAGAATGCTATCCGTTAATCATTTATATTTTTTAAATATTTGAATGTCTTAATGACATCAAATTGAGCAATCTTGGGCTCCTTATAATTATCTCATCAAGATGCACATTTTATTTAAAAATTTGCTAGCAATAGTGTTAAAAAAACCTTGAAATTAATTCTAGAAATTTCTAATTCATAAACTTATGCCAATACCTATACTTAATCAGATGGATTTTCATGAAATGTATCAAACACAAATACAGTTAAAGATAATTCCCATAATCTGCCATCAAATATATTTTCAATCCTTAACATCCAATCCTCAACTACATTCAGTTCCACTCAAACAATAATGTTCTCATACTTAGAAAGAGTTTCAAATATATTCTACCTTCCAGGTCTAACCATGTTTAACCAATAACAAGATATGGCAAATGGTTGAAGTACAATATGTACATAAGAAGCAGTGATCAGGGTACCTAAGCTGCATAAAATGTTCAAAAAGCAAAAATGGCACAGCAATAGAGAAGTGTGGGAGCAATAAAGTCAAATAGTATGATGTAAACAGCAAGTAGGGTAGCACAAATAATAGGGACCGTACAGAATAAGATGAATACTAGTGTTGCAACTGAATTTCTTAAGCATTGAATGTTGCTGCAAAGTATGAGATCTTTGTTGTTTAAAAGAGCGGACGAACATAGTATAATTGAGGATTGAGAGGATATTAGAAAGTATGGCTTATCTAGAAAGTGTCCTTAGTTATGCTGTGTTGGAGGGAGAAGCTAAAATATGATAGTTGGACACTAAAAAGAGAAGTCTTAGGGGAAATTGATTCTATGATTTCATGAGCTGAATTTGTACGAGTTTTCATAGATTAGCTTGTGCCTCCTTCAGATAGGTAATAAATGCCGATAACATTTATCAAGTTGACATTGGAGGAAAGAATGTGCAAACGACGCAACAGCTCTGCGGTAGGTTTATTCTAAGACAATTGACAATGAGAAGTTTTTTCTCCATTAGAAAAAGAGCTAGGTTCTAATCCTAATGACCAAACTGCATCTGTTTCTATTGATCTTAATAAGAAAATGTTACACTTTGGTTGTGTGGATGTTGCTTCTCATTAAGTTGACTATGATTGTAATTCTGAGAACACCACTCAAAATTCAGGCATTAATGAAGCTATTAAGTGTAACTTAATGGATGTAAATCCTTCCTAAACTATCTCCATTTCAAATTCAAATCTACAGCAGGCTTCTTTGGCTACAAATTCTCTTTGAGTTCCGATTCTTCTCAGCGGAAAAAATGTTGTATTTATTGTTTGTGCGGTTGTTGCTTCTCATCAGGTAGAAAATGATTGCAATGCTGAAATTCCATTCAAAATTAAAATGTTAATGAAACAAGCAGTTAATTTAATGGATGCAGCTCCTTCCCAAACTATTTCCATTTGAAATTCAAACCTACAACAAGTTTCTTCAGTCACTAATTATCTATAATTATTGAATCTTTGGCTAAACCTGAAATTAAATATACTATTGTTGTCATCTTGCAAATGAAGCTGACAACTCATTCTCCTACTTCAAATTCAATCATTGAAATTGCTTCTGTAGCTCAATTTCATCCCACCTCCTAATTTTGAATTATGAAGCGTCCAACCAAGATTATGGGAAAACAAATGAATGTTGCTCCTTCCCAAACCGTTCCTATTTCAAATTTAAATTCACAAGTTCAGTCTGTTCAAAGTTCAATACTGGATTTGGATGCTTCATTAAGGAGCTTTTATTAGGCCATTCATTTTAGGAAGGCATATTATAAGCAAGGCATTAAGGCATTTCTTGACTCCAGTTAGCATACCTCAACGAAGCGTTTTTGAAAACTGATTTGGAGAAGAAATGCAATTTCAGAACAGCAACCAGTGCTTCCACATTCTAACCTGAAAGAACAAAGATAATAAAGAGAAATAGAGAAACCGGGATAGGAGAGGAAACCAGAATTCTCTATTACATGTGATGTGAAACATGTATGAAAACAAGAATTGCTTTGGGAAATTAATAATAATTTGAAAAAAAAAAACTTTGTCAATTGTATATCTTATGTTTCACCAAGTTAGATTCCTGAATTTTCAATTATAAGTTATGTAATAGCATATGGTTACAAACAAGATCAAAAGGATACTTGCAAATAACAACAAAATAAATAAGTAAAACTAATGGCAATGAATAACGAAAATCCACGGCTTAACAATTAGAAATGTTCACCTTGAGTTCCCTCATTCTCGCTCCTGAAAGTGGTGTTTAGCGGAGAAAGATTAAAAGTAATCCTAGTGATGCCACCACGAGACAAGTGACGCTTAAGGTATTGTTCATCGGAGAAGTAGCCGGAGGAGGGGAAGTTAATGGACGTCCGATGATTTTCCACTGTCCGGTTGGTCGTTGCTTTTCGATTGTCTCGGTGAGATGATAAAGTATACGATCTACGTAGTTTTCAACGGAAACTTCGAATTCCCAGTCGAGATCAAAAAAGGGTGATTGAAGGATGTCGATTTGTCCTTGAGAATTGTATGCAAATCTGTGTTCGACTTCAGGATCGGCCATTCATGGAGGCGACGTCGGCTTGAAGATAATCCTTGTATGTGTAAGGCTTAGAGGGGGAGAGAAGTGGAGGAGAAGATGAGAATTTCAGCTAGGGTTAGGAAGGTGGGGGGGGTGTTGTTCTTTGGAATTAGTGAGGGAAGTGGAGATGAATAATTTTTGGAAAAAACTAAATATTACTTTCAGATTTTCTAGAGAGGGAAGGACTAATTTTGAAATTCAAAATTATCCCTAAATTGGGCTAATAGGGGGCAGCGGCTTAGGGGAATTAAGTGGGAGAATTTAATTAGGGATTGGGGTTTAATTGAAGAGAGAATAGGGGAGAGAGGGGGCCGACCATAAGAGGAGGGAGGATAGGTGTCTAGGTTCAATGTATGTGGGCCCAAGGAGTTAAATAATGATTGGGATCAAATCTGAAATTATATTTTAGATTTGATTTAATTTGGGGAGGATTCCTAATTGGGTTTTAACAATAAGAAAAGCATTTGAAATTCAAAATTTAATTGAATTCAAATAAATAATATTTTCTAATTGCGATTGGGATATTTTAATAAAGTAATTAGGAGCCAATTGAATTTGAAAATTCCACTTAATGGTGAGGGTGGCCGGCGGCTAGGAGGGGTTATGGGAAATTCGGTGGTGGGAAGGGTGGAAGCCGGCGGTTGTGCTGGTAGGGGGGAGTTGCCAGCGGTTTGGAGGGGTGGTGGTGAGCCGACGGGATGGAGGAGGCAAGAGGGAGTCTAGGGAGGGGGCTTGGCCGACGGGTGGGGTGGGTTGCTGGAGGTGGAGGGGTTGGGCCAGTGGTGGGGAAGGAAGAAAAGAAAAGAACAGGAAAACCAAGAGCTCACCCGAAGGGGCTGTTGGGTACTTCGCTTGAGCCTCTCCAAGGCTTCACCTCTCCTCTCAAGAGATCACAAACAAGAACTCAAAATCTAAAATTTTTATTAATTCATCATTAACCTCATACAATGCAAAAGACCTCTATATATAGATCTAAATAATAAAAGAAAAAGAAAGACTCAAATGCCCTAGGGGCTACAACAATAACTCACTACGCATATGGGTAAAATAGGGAAAACTAAAATGCAAAAATAATAAGCAATACATGAATACATCAAAAGTAAAGGCTCCAAATCATAGCTGTCGATCTACGATTCCTCCAATGATACACATGTTGAAATCTCTGGCTGATGTCCTCATCAGTATGCTTTTCAAT